GATTCCTTGTCCAGACAGTTCCATCTCACATCTTACTAAATGTATCTTACTAAATGTAAGTACCTTCTTTCAACCTTTCTCCTTTCCAGTCAATTAACTCAAAATCCCTCCTTTCTGTTTACCACTTTAGCTCAGTGTCATCCTACTATTTCGTAACACACACCTAGTCTGATCTTCTTGCCCAACCATTTGATTCCCTCCCAATACCAGAATCATCGTTCAGCCCCTCTAATCTCCTTGCTCAACTAGTCTCCAAACCTTTCTTCCACAGGCTTCCCAATCAGGGTGTCTCAGCCTTCCTCTCTACTTACTCTAGTGCTAAGACATCTCAATTTATATGGCCTTTTTTTCACTGATTTCTTCTCAAGCAATTTGTTTTTCTTCTGGTCTCAGTATTGTCTCATCTTAATATGTTCCTTTCATCCCTTATCTGGTTTTATTCTCCAGTCATTCAGATCAATAGGATTATTCTTAAAGCCAACAACTGTTACCTATGCTCAGTTCCTGTGCCCAGCTGTGTTTTGGTGTGGCACAACCATTACAGGAAAAGCCTTTGAGCTTGTGTAGTACCTGATTAACAGATAACTGACTACTCAGTCCACAGGGAGGAAGAGTGCAGAGACTGAAAAATGTCATCTGTAAGGAAATCTGTTGTGAATGATTACTTTATAGGTTGATATACTTAGCAGGAGCTGAGAGAGATCCAAGCCTATTTCATGATGGTCTCTCCAGCCCTGCAGGCAGCTCCTGGCCAAGAACTGTCAGAAAAGGCACAGAAATCTGTTTTTCAAAAGTCAATAATTTGGCAGTGTTAAGCAAAAAAAGTGAAAAGTTTATTCAATCATATTATGAGGATGTTGTGTATGGATTGTTAGTGTATAAGCCATTAGGCTCATAGACTGTCCAGTGTCTCTAAAATAGCTAATTAAAAGTGTTGCTATAAAAATTGCCAGCTTGTGAAACAATGGGTGGAGACAGGAATTCAACTCCAGAAACCCACTTCAGTTACCACATTGTTCCTCCATTATCTGTCTTGTTTCAGCAAGGTGAGTGTGTAGCAAAACTGTAATTGAGCAGTAACAAATGCTCAACAATAAAAAAAAGTTAAGAAAAATTCTCCAAAAAGTATTGCATATGGAGGAGAAAATCTAATTATCCAAAAAAAATCTGACCCAGAAAACAATGATTAACAAATGCAGCATTGATCAAGAATGGAAGTTCAGTGTAGGTGACAGCAGTTTTTAGAAATATGACAAGGATAAGAGTTTGGCAGAGTGTAAAGACTGGACTCATTATTAATTTCTTGTAATTAAGGAAATAGAACTACACACAATGTATTAAAATCTTTCTTGTATTACATTACTATCCTTTCTACATTACCGATGTTAGAAACCAACTATAACAATTCAGGTTTCATTTAAAAACTTCTTTTCCACTTTTTGATGGAAAAAAGAATCTTTTTTTTCTTGCAAACATTATTCTAAGTACAATAGAAAACTGAAATGGATTCTTTCTGGCCTTCTATCTTCTGTATCTAACAAAACCTAAAATAATACAATATTTGAGATAAGTTAGAAATAAATGTTGAGCAGTGATGTAACATAGCCTTTGCATCTCCAGAAGCTGTACAGGTCAAACTAAGTTCTGATTCACTTCTGGAAGAAAGTAAACATGCTGAACAGGAACCATTTTTACACCTACCTCACTCGTTCCAAAGAAGATGGGCAAATTAAGCACAAAGAACTGGCACTTAATAAAAGCAGAGAACTGCATTTTGGAGGAAAAACCTAACTCTACATTTATTTCACACAGGCTGCCAAGGAGAGTGATTCATGATAGAAATATCAGCATTCCAAACATCACTGTGAACAGCACAGTGAAGGCATTTTTCCGTTACAATCTCACCATGTTATTCACAAATTTAACTTTCTGTCCTTCCCAATCTTAAGTTCCTGGGGCCATGCAGGAGGTGGGTAGGGAAAGGGCAAGAACGGTGAAGAACGAAGAAATGGAACCCCTTCCTCTCCCTGTTCAGCAGATGAAATAAAGTTTATATCCATTTCAATGCAGAGGCCCCACTCTGCAGACTAAACTCATGGTGTAATTGGCATAATATTTCAGGGAGGTGGAGGTGTGCTTTTTTTTTGAGTGGCAGATAGCATATCCGCATTACTTCACCCCCACTGGTGTTTCAAGTCATGTGAAGTGACGAAATGTGAAATGGTTCCATCTGGTTGGTATTAGTTATATTGGCCAAGTTGGCTTTGGCATAATCCATATCTTTATTCATCACACATATATACACTGATAAAAATGAGACCTAGCTCAGCTTCAGATGAATCCTTTCCTTCTGTTAAAAATCATGCAAGAAACTAATACTCTGGCACAACAGAACTGGCAAAATCTTATCATTTAACACTGATGCCTGCATTAGTAGAGTATTCATTGATCCCCCACAAACTATTTCAAATTCTAAAACTATAAACTGAAAGAGGCTGGATAAACACAAGAGAACGCAGATTTGACAGAAGACACCGTATCGGTCCCTGGAACTGACCTTGCTCTACTAGTTAGTACAAGTGAGTTTTCAAATATCACAGTAACATCAAACAAGTGAACAATCTTGCTGAATTTATATGAACTTACATGTCAGGCAAGTGCAAGTCTACAGAATGGACACCAGCACCATAGAAACTACTTTCAAACTTAACTTGTACCTTACAGCTTACATCAACTTACATAAATTAATTTCATTCCTCTGCTACCTGTCACAACACTTGTAAATTGCTCTCCCTGCTATTAATGTTACTGAGCCTACAATAAACAACATGGTTTTCATTTAATTATTAGATATGTTGTTCTCAGAAACCAGCTGGTTGCCAAGTATGCCAAGTGCCAACAGCAAATAATACAGGTTCTTCCTGTTCTAAGAAAAAAGAAATCAGAGCATCTTCTCATTTGTTAACCCAGACTCCATTTAAAATAGCTGTATTCACATGGTTACCAGTTGGACGAAATACTCCATACAAGTTTCTAGCACTCCCATCTTAAATCTATTCCCTAAAACTCAACAGGTTAAAATCAATATTGAGTCAGGATATGATTTGAGAATCTAAACCGTTTAGCAATTTTATCACTGCTTTTTATTAAACAGACATTTAATTTATGTGAAATTGAAGCACAACATATTTTGCCCAAGCAAGTATTTCAGGAGTTGCACTGCAAAAATTGTCAGGGAGTGGATCCAGATTAAAAATTAAAACCTTCCAATTTTTACCTGTCCTCCAATGTTACTTTTCTAAATTATTTCATAATCTGGTTTCATAAACCAGTATAACTGAAAATATGGCACCCTGTATGGAAAGCAGCAGCTGGGCTGAGAAGTGCTTAGGTGAGTACTTCTGCTTAACTCTTCAGACAACAGACCATAGTAAATGGTAAATATGGTAATGGTAATGTAATGGTAAAAATTTAAATAGTAAATATGCTTTTTCTATTCCTAGACATTTCAGTCTTCCATAGCACAGTCTCAAGTTTAAATGGCTTTCTCTCTGAATGTTTTTACATAGATAATGAGAAGTTTGAACCATACCATTAACCATATCAAAAGCACAGGTCTCAATTTGATATTGCTTCTTCAGGGAGGCTATGCATGCCATTATTAATACAGATGACACTCTTGGTAGTTTGCTTTGTTTTCTTCTAAGCTCTGCCTTTTACATTTGAGATACTTCTGAACTAATGTTGTCATTATCTGCTGCCTTGGAAAACTCTTCCAATTGACTTGTACCAAAAATGCTGAGAACACAAAGTGACCACAACATGTAGAGTACTGAAATACAGCATATCTCAAATTGCAGAACAAAGAAGGAACTTCTGTCACAAAAGCATCTGATCAGTGGGGATGATTTTACCACAGATATGCTCCCCCATGAGTGCTGTTGGAAACTGATTAAATAATGGATCAATAAAAGCCTCGTGTTTCGGACTAAGTTCTACTGCAAAGTTTTTTTGATAAAAAACAACATTGAAAAATGAAGACAGTAAATTGAACTGTGAGAGAACTCAATGCATGAGACAAGTTTCCTAGAAGATGGCAGGCATTTGTGAAATTATTTAAAACAAGGTAGAAGATGAATGAAATACAGGATGTGGTTCTGGGTAAACTCAAAAAGCGGGGTAAGGACAGAAGATAAATGTAGCAGAGCACAAGTCATGCAAACAACAAAGGTCAGCATGGCCTAAATAGATGGACATTGTGTGTACACAGTGTAGGGCTATATTTGAAAGATGGTTCAGTGGAAGGGTACAACCAACCTAAGTTTATGGAGGGAAAAGGATCTGTAAAAAGTCTCAATACTACAGTGCTCTTGATCCCAGCACAGACAGAGATGAAAAGTGGCAGAGATGAAAACTGTACCTCAAAGAAAATTTCTAGACTTTCCTTTTCATAATGATTTGAATATATGACATTTTATTTGATGAGAATATTACTGATTTTTAGCTTTTCCGATTTACCTACTGTCAAAATATCTGAAACTTCAAAAACAAACAAGTAAATAAAAAACCCAACAAACACCCACCAAGACAGGGCCCTCAAATCTCGGCAATGCAGAGAGCAAAATTTTGATACACAGTAAATTTCATAATGTTTTGCGACTCTGACGTATATTTTCCAGAGGATCAGAATACACATGGGTTAGTTTACACCCATGTACCGATGCTTTAAAGCACAGAGATTACCAAACCATCCGACACACACAAGTCAGTGCCAGAGAACTAGATCGAACAGCCCTTTCTCCAGCGCTCTAGAACATGCGAACAACTTGTTCTGAGACCCCAGCGTCGGCACCAAGAGACAAACTTGCCCCAGGTGCGACGACAGTGATGCCGGCCCGGGTGCTTGCGCTGGGACAGGAAAAGCACCTACGAGTAGAACAGGTTCCGCGGGGGCGGGCCGTGCGGCTATGCCCCGGCAGGGGAGGCTTTTCTATACTCACACTGGCAACATGTTCCTCTCTGTTGAAAGTTAAGCTTGGCAGCTCCTCTCAGGGCCCTAAAAGAAAGACAGTATGGCAAAACTGACATGAAAGTCTTCCTGGAAGGGTTATTTCGCGCTGCCTTTACCCGTGTACGACAGTGGGAACTCACACGGGCGTACAGCTGCGCAACGAGCCGCAGGAGCCGCCAGGCCAAGGTGCCAGAGGGAGAAGACGGGAGCCGGGCACGCCGCACCCTCGCGGCCCCTCAGAGGCGCTCTCCCGTCAGCCCATCCGTCCCCTTTCGTCCGCTGCTCGCGGGGCGGTGCGGTGGCTACCGCTGCGGGGAGATGGGAGAGAGCGCCGCCCGCCGCCCTGCAGCGCTGCCCGTTGCACGAGCTGCCGCCCCGCCGCTCTCGAGGCGAGCCCCAGCGCGGCGCCGACAGCGCGCGCCGGCAGGCAGACGGACAGCCTCCCCCCGGCCGGCGGAGGCGAGGCCGGGCGCGCCACGCCCCTCATCCCGGCATTCCCTGCGCCCGCTCGCCACGGCTCGGCTCGGCTGCGGCTCTGCGGCTGCACTCGCGCCATGGCTGCCTACAGCAAATATCTCACCGTGCGCCATTCCGCCATTGTCGGCGGCACGGCCGCCGCCTGCGCGCTGCTCTGCCTGCTCAACAAGCGGCGGGCCGCGGCCCAGCACGGGTGAGCCAGGCGGGGCGCAGCGCGAAGGGCCGGGGGCGAGCGGCGGTGGTGCGCGGGGCCGGGAGGGACGGAGCGGGGCCCAAAGGCCGGGCCCGGGGCTCTCCCTGCCGTGGGGCTCGCTGCCTCCGACCCTCGGGACCGCGTCCTGGGGAGGGGGCGGCATCCGCTGCCCCTGCCTGTGGAGCCGCGGCACGCCCCGGCTCCGCTGCTCGAATTATATTCGCTTTCTTAGCTTTCCCATCTGCGAGCTCGCGCTGAGAAAAGTTAAATGTTTAGGTTTGTCCTGTCTGTAGGGGAAATAACGGGCGCGGGTTATTCTGGTGCCCACCGACAGCTGTAGCAGAGATAGCGCCTGCTTGGGTTACCTGTGAGGGCGGCCCACCTGTGTGTGAGTGCTGGGACGGGGGTCTACTGAACCCTGAGGAGCACTGGGGTACCAGGACGTGAGATGGGTGGAGAAGGTGCTCCACGCTCAGCCCTTGCGTGGTGCTGGCAGATCTGTGGATCTCAGTTGCCGGCCGTGTGCTGAAGACCTGGCTGTACAGTTAGATATCTTGTAATTGCTATAACCCTGTCCTTGTGCTAAACACAGATGGTGAAATGGACTTGCTCAATAGACTTAAGCAATTGCATACCTGTAGTTAAGCAATGACCTAGTGTTATTTTACCTAATTCCTTTCATACAGGTGATATCTTCACAAGTTTCTGAAGTTAGGTAACTGTCATATAACATACATAAAACGTGAGCAACACAGGGCTTCTTGGAATTTGTTATGTTATGTTGTTTGCATGGGAGTGGAAACAAGATCCTGAACTGTTGATGATGGTTTGTTCTTCTGTCCAATTCATTGGGAAGGGTGATATTTTCCAGTTATCTCTGCTGAATTTAGTCAAACACCTTCTATAAAAAGGTGAAAAGCTGTATAGATGAGCTTGAAAGTGGTAAGTTGAGAGGGTTACTACAAGACTTTCCTACTTAGTGTATTGTAATGCTGTCTATAAGACTGGGCCAGGCAGACATTCTAGGAGAATCTAAGTTTGTACTTCAGACTGAATGTGCTTTTGAAGTGAACCTTTTAATTGTCCACACTTTCCTTGCTTTCTCTTTGTTGAGGAGTTCTGGGTTATGTTTGGTTTAGAGCATGCCTTCAGCTGTAGATTGAGGTCAAATGTAGTTTTGAAGTACACTTAATATACTCCTGAAATACATATAATGTGGGTCCTGGGTTGTCCCTGAACTGTGTTGCAGGTTTCTTGATGTTGATCTGCTGGACTCAACAAGAAGAGTGCCTTGAGAGTGAGAGTTGAGAGTGAATGTAATGAAACTGAATTCTAGCTTAAATGTTGGAAATTGTGTTTGGATTGTATTCCTCCTGTAGGAATCATGATTTTGCTACATACAGTGTTAAAAATCTGAGTTATTTGTACATATTAGGTGACCACGCACTATTATGTTATTGTCTGCTGTAAAGTGGAGATGATTCACACATTTAGCAGTTGAATGGAGTTGAGGTGGTCTGACCTAATATGACCTATACCTTTTTCCTCTATCTATACTACAGTTATCCTCCTACCTCTTTGTTACTGCTGTAATCTGCCTCTCTTATGCTGTTTTGCTTTTTCAAATCTATCCAGAAATGCAGTTTCTAAAATAAGTACCATGTTGCTAGCTAGTTTGTACCTATGCAACTACTGCTTTAGGCTTTTGAGGTGCTTTGTTGCATAGCTCTTAATACTGCTGTTATGCTGGGGCTGTGAATTCCAAACTCTACATCCACCATTCAGTTGTTTCATAGCCAGCTATGCTGTCCTTTTTCTGAGGGTGGTATTTGCTCATCGGTCCTCCTTCTTTTCTCCACATTTTCCTTGTGAGGCAAACCTTGCCAGGAGCATTATAAAATGCTGCCTATCAAGAAGAGGCAGTAAGCAAGTTACACTGCCTACACCACAAAAGCAACCACATATTACTGTTGCCTCATCCTCTTTTAGTCTTGTTAGTTTAAGTGTCTTTCATTTCCTAATGCTTTGTTGCTAATGTAAATTATAGCATACTTTTGGAAAGGACTGTCACTGTGCCAAATTTTTATATTCCATCATACTTGTGCTGGTATACAACACAGACATACAATGCTGACAATACAAATAAATCTGCGTGGAATAATAGTTAAAAATTTCTAAGGCCTGGCATGCCATCTAATTTTTGTGTCTACTTTGGGAAGATGGAGAAAAGTGGCTGTCCTGAATTTTACTTTTCTGTAAGGAGAAGAATTTTTTTGTCAATCTAAATAATCTAGATTGTGGCATATTTGCAGCTTGAGGCTAACTGAAGTGTGTCAGTAATGGCAAACTGTAGTGTTATGTATGTGAATGCCTTTGTTTACCTTAGTATGTAATGTGTGAAAATGTTGTCTTGTGTGTGTCACATGAATTTCAGCTTCTTGAATTCTGGAAGGTGAAATTGTATGATGTATATCAATATTGTGGACTTGAATGGAGACTAGCATTTTGCTGTGGAAGTGCAAAATGTATAGGCAGAACTTACTGTCAGTATATTTCCTTACACGTATTTCTATCTCATGCTGATATACTATTATATCATGTTTCCCTGATATAAATGTCTTTTTTTAAATGTCTACTGGAATGCTGTCGTGGTTCTCTATTACTGCTGGCCAAAATTGAGAAGTAAAACAAGATAAAATGCAAATTAAAAAAAGCAACACAAGTGACTGCCAAACATAGCAAGTCAAGTGTGTGTTTGTTGAATGTGTAACACAACAAAACAGACTTGCCTTACACAGACTTCTGAGATTGTGTGTGTTACTTTTGATAGGGAATAGTCAGCTACAGAAACTACTGTAGGAGGAACAGACAACTCTCATTTCGGCTGTCAGGCAATAGGTTCGAAGTCCAGTACAACTCCTATCAAGTAGTGAGGTATGAATAATTAAGCTGGATGTTACACTAGCCTACCTTAGTAGGTCAAAGATCATGTAATTAGTGTTAGTTGGCTTAGTCACAGCTGTTCTTCTGTAGGACCTATTACATTGCTCATCTGTTTTGCAGAGCTGAGAGGCTGTATCTCTTGCAGTTGACAATAAATTTTAACTAATTTCTAAAATCCCCCAAAATAGCCCAGTACATAACTGCTGGATTGTAGTAAGAAGCTCAGTGGTATTGCACATTGCTTTCTGTGCTTTAGTTAAGGCAGTAAAAATGCCCTGTTTTTCCATTTGTGTTGCTCTTCTCAAAATCAAGTCTGTTTCCTTGGAAAACATTTCATTACTTGGGAGGGAGGAAGTTGTTACATGTAAATGCAATAATGACCTGAGCTGTGGTGTTTGGAGTGCTTTTATAGTGGAAAAAAATATTGTCCTGTTTGGGAAACTACATAATTCTGTGTATATAGTACAGGAGAAACCAATCATGACTTTAATTTGTCAGGAGCAATTGTTACAAGTATAAAGGATTTCTGCGCTGATGGGTTTTTTGACCACTGAAAAACTCACTTCCATTTAGGGGAATTACTCACAAAAATCTGCATTAAAGACCAGTGTTTCTTTTCCCTCCACTCCCTCTGTTGAGCGTTGGAGAAAAATTTGAAGAACAGAAGAAAGAAGGAAGACCAATGGAGGTCCAATCAAGTAGTCTTTGTACTTTGTCCTCTCTCTGCTGAAATGACAGCAAAAAGTTTAATGCCCAAGACCTTGGGCAAATGTCAGTGAGCAAGATCTGAAAAGGCTGGTTTTTGGAGCTGGTGTTTTCTTTTCAGTAATAAACAGTACTGAAATAGGACTACTCAAATAATCTGTAGCATTTTCCTAACTGATGCTGTGTTCTGGTGCATTATGAGTACTATTTGGCTGCATGCAAACACAAACAGCAAATATTTCCTTTTAATATCTGCTGTTACTATGGGATAGCAATTTGTTGCTAGGAATTACTATTTTAATTGAATGCAGATGGCTTCAGATTTACTGAGAATGCATGAATGTAGTTTGTAATTTATATTTTTTGTGACATTAAAGAAACCAACCCAACCAGGGACTGAAACAGCTGTAGCAGTTTGGTTCATGTAAACTTTTTTCTTCTTTAAACGCAGACTGTAAGCTCATATTGGATACTGACAGTCAAAAAAAATGGTAAATAATGAAATAGGGTTATACACAGTATAGGACTGACTGAAAAAGGAAGGAAAAAGGAAAACCTATGCTGTATAATGCTTAAAGTAAGATGAAGTTATTTTTCATTTGCAGAAGTCTAACCCCACGTCTTACGAGCTTTGTCTTACATGTTAGACATCACTGCCTAGAACAAGAAACTTAAGATTTGGTTGCTTTAGAAATAAAACCTTAGTGGGTGGTACGTAAGTGAGCTGGTTGTTTGTGACTCTCTCACTCTAGTGGGGATTGTTCCTTAGTCTCTTTGTAGTTGGAAGCGAAGTACTTGCACAGATGGAGAGCGTATTTGGATTATTTTCAAAAAGTATTGAACACATACAGGTTTCTGCTGGAGAAGGGACCTGAAAGGAGTTTGGAGCGACGAGATTAGGGAATGAGAATAAGCTGAATATAGTAGGAACTTTTAGTATATGGAAAGTGACAAGACGTTTAGAATCTGCTCCTAGATGCAGTTGCCTTCCCCTATCACCCAGTACATCCATTAAAATCCAAGTGGATGCTGGTGTATAGAAACTTAATTTTGTATGCATTAAACCTTTGAAATCCAAGTGATTTCTCCCCCTTTTTTGAAGAAAAAAAAAAATGCTTAAAGGAAGAAAAATATTTGCCTGGAGCTTCAGAGATTGGATTGGTCCAAAGTGAGGAGTTGTTGATGCAATGAATGTCAAGCAGGCTTTTACACAGGTCAGCTTAGGTGATGTGTGACTGCTGCACTTTGCTGTCACTGGGCTTTTCAGCCTTCTTCCTCTCAGGGAGTGGAAGTTGGTGTGTGTCAGGACTGCCCTTGAACTTGACAGTGATTCATGTAAGTAAACTGGAACT